CCTGCCACTGCCCTCCCTGTCCCTCCTACCCCTCGGCCCCTGTCCCTCCTGCCCCTCGGCCCCCGCCCCGGGCCGGTGGAGGTTTGGCCATGCCGCTGAGAAGGGAGCGCTGTGTGTGCAGCTGTTTGAGCCCGCGCAGGTGCTGCTTCTTAGTATTGTGTTGCTACCTCAGACGTTTCCAGGCCGGTTTTGTGCTCTGTGGCCAAGATCGTTGCCTCCCCTGAAGCGCCTTGGCCGGGCACTGTTCCCCTCCCGCAGGCTCCTAGGAGCTCGTGTCGCTGGCCCTGCTGTGTGAGGGACACATTGGGTGTCGCCTGTTGTGAGTGGGTTTCGCGAGGGGACGGCAAGTGGAAGCTACAAGTAAAAATTACGGTTGTGCAAAAATTTTCCCTGTCCAAGTAGTAAGAGTTGGTTAGGTAGTTCCGTGTGCAGGCTTTAAATTAACTGTGTCTTGTACTGCTTGTTAGAGAAGCTTTTGGTGGAAAATGTTAGTTGTTTGCATCAGTGTGAGCTGGTGTTGCTGTCTGTTCATCCTTGTCCTTTTCTGTTCCCTTTCTCTTGGTGTTCATGAGGCTCCACAGGGTACCAGTCTGGGGAGCTGAGCTGAGCTCTGTGCCAGCCTTGACCACAGACATTGCTGCCGTCTGTCTCTTTCCTTTCTGCCCTGGCTGCAGCTTCTCATGCCCTGCCATGCCCTGCTCACACAGTCCCTGGAAACTTTGCTGAGCCATCTGTGAGAAAATCCAGCCTAGCAAAGCAAGTCAGTGAGTAGTTGTCTGTATGGTTAGAGTTCTGAGCCAATTCAGGAAAGGGCCAAATTAAATGTTCTGATTCCAAGGAGGAAGCAGAGGGAGGCTAGGAGCACGGTAACTAGTGGGTAGATAGGCTTGGGCTGCTGCAGGGAAAACTGCGAAAGTTAAAACTTTCTTTTTGCCAGTTCAGCCTTAAAACAGGTTAGTTACCCAGTGTGATATATCAAGTGCCTGAGAAACAGCTTGTCCTGTCACAGGTGAAGGGGTGAGTCTGCCCCTTTGGGCTTTAATGCTGGCCTCAAATGGCCTACAGTGGCTGTGGCAGAGTGGCATAAAGCACCCTCAAACATTGCTTCACAGGCACAGTGTGTCTCTGTGAAAGTTGTGTTTCAATGCCACCTCAGCCGTGGACCCTGCATTGACTCTGTTCTTCTGGGGCTTCTGAAAATGCTGTTTCAGTGATGCACATCTGTAGCTCTGTCCCAACTTACTCCAGCTCTTTGAACAGTTATGCTTTGTTTTGTCATGTGGAAAAGAAACAGTTTTTAAAAGTCAGGAGCTACTGTAGATGAAAAAGTGCAAGTCACTAATCTGACCTGTGTCCTGACTGTTTCAGTGGAATAACTTTGATTTAGCACCAGACACTTAGCAAGCTATGTGATTGTGGTGTTAGGAACTACTTCCCATCTGTATTTTCCCTGCTGTCACATCCTCACACCACCTGTGTGTGGTGTGCAGTGCAGGACATAGCTGAAGGCTGGTTTTAGGTGTGCATCTGCCTGACAAACAACTACTGAAAAATTGCTTAGTATCTATGAAGTCTGAAGGATATTTTTTGCTTGTGAAAAGTGATGGGGTGAAGTAAAATATATGTGAAACTATGGAAAGCAAATAGCTTCATGATGCCTTTTTAGTACAATGGTGGTTGTTGGTCTGGTGTCTTCTAACACCTTACTGGGTTCTCTCTCCATCCCCATGCAGGCAAGCTGTTAGCTGTTCTTATCTTGTCAAGTTGCAGTTTGTGCTGGTGGCTGCGAGCTCCTTATCTTCTGGTTTGTGCTACTTGTGCACCTGCTGGCAGGCAGAGCATGGGAAACCGAAATAGTTCTAGTCTTAGGGCAAACATCACTTAGCAACAGCTAAAACATCAGTGTGTTAGCAACATTCTTCTCCTCCTAAAGACAAAGCACAGCACTGTATCAGCTACTAGGAGTATTGCTATGGAAATTAACTCTCTTCCAGCTGAAGGCTTATCCAAGAAAAAGTCTGCAGCTTGTGGCCTAAGGCTCCCAGCAGCTCTAGCTACTTATGCTAAGCAAGTAAATATAAACAATCAGCACACTAAATCACACAGCATTATGACTTTAAGTGATTCATTCTATTTAAAAATTACTTAAGCCAAACGACTAATATCTTTTAACAAAATAATGTGGCTCCTAGGTGCAAACAAAAAAGGAGTGTGACAATAGGTGAATTGTTACAAAATCAGGAAAATAAGTTTTGAGGCCAAATGGAGAACAGAGAAGTTTCTGGGGCTGAGCAGAAGTTGAAAATTATCTCATTTTGTGGTAGAAATACTAAGTAAAATGATCTGTGCTGCTAGAGTGCATGGAATTCATCTGATGCTCTCTCTCTGCTTATCTCTTGCCTAAAGTGTGTCTCTTGAAGTTGGCAAGAAGATAAAACATCTCTGATTCTTCAGGTCAGGAAATTTCTACTGGAAAAGGTCTGGGACTTGGGTAACAGCTGTTGTCATAGGTCTCAGTCTCAAAGCCGTAAGGGTTCTGACTCTGTGTGGGATATTACTACTACATAAGTCTTGAAAACATTCTGAAGTTATCTTTACAGCATCCTTGGCTGTGTTTTTTGCCCCAAAGTTCCCATCCACTCTTCATTTGAACTCTGGTTTTGGTTGGGGCTTTATATATACATACATAGATATATAAATTTGTTGTGCTTCATTTTTTATTTGTCAAGCACAAGTAAAGTTTTTTTTTCAGCTTTGGTAAAAAGAGTCTTTCCCGTATTCTGTTAGACTTCAAAATTGCTAAAATATGCCAAAGATTGTCTTGAAGATTTAGTCCTCAGGGATCAGCAACACGTGTGCAAAATGTAGCTCTACAGCATCCACAATTCTGGTAGAGTAGAAACTAGGACAGCAAAAATACTTAGTTTTGTTGACTTCTGATGTATGTCCTTGAAAGTTTTCTAAAAGCAGAATCCTCTGAGATCCACCAAACAAAACAAAATGTTAGGCTCACGGTTTAACAGTCCTCCAGCATATGCATACTGTTTGTTGTGTTTCAGTGTTTTTATCGGTATTGGAAACTAATACTTGACTTCACATTCTCCTTACTGATAATTAGCATTGGTCTTTGCTTTTTAGTTTCCTGGGTGGTCCTTGCTGTCCTTACAGTCACAGCTTTGTGCAAAGATAATGCTCGTCGTGTTTTCACTGAACTAGCAAAGTCCTGAGTTTCCTGTCTTTGCGGGAGACCTGTAAAAACATACAAGGAAACAACAGTGTGAAAATAATTGTTTATCATCTTCATGATATGGATTTTCTTGAGCAGACCCAAGAATGTCCATGCTGTGACCAAAGGAGCAGCATATCCCAGATACCTGTAAATTTAGCTTCCCTGTGTTGTTGGTGGCAATGTAGCCACAGAAGCACAGAGCTAAATACAGCCCATAAAATCTGCCAGAGATGTGGTCAGGAATCCACGTGGATTTCAGTTTTATGTTGTATTCATGAAGAGGAATTGCAAAGTTCTTTTTTCCTTTTAGAGGAATATTTGACATTAGTCTTTAGCCTTGCAGTTGCTAGATACCACCTTAAGGGATTTAAGTAATGGCATCCTTTATGTTTTATATCCCTTTTTTGTTTTCAGTGTGCAGTTGAGCTGCACATCAGAGCAATGGTATTTGTCAGTGCAATGAACCTGACTGTAATAGTTTTGTTTTAAGAATGCACTGCATGTCATGACCAGATAAAAACAGGTTAGATAAGAAGCTTCCACCTTTTTAAGGAACACAATTTTACCAGATTTCAGTTGATACTTTTCAATATACTGAATTATATTGTCATCAGTCTTGCAAACAAAACTGTAAGGCTTCAAAGTCGAGTGGCAGCAGGTGTTCAGTTTTGTGGTATCTGCATCAGTAGTAATTGAAAGAGACACTGATGATTTTATTCCCTCTAATCTAGTCAGATCTCTTGTGTTGAACTGTAGGTTTTTCAGTGGCTTGCTTTGAAATACCAGGTTTTAATGGGCTGCTGGGACAGCACCTATTCAGCAGCTGATTGGTTAGACATGGGACTCAGTAACTTAGGAACACTACTAAACCTTACCCTTTGTAATTTTTCTCATAGGCATAATAAAGCAGTGAAGAGAAACTGGGGGAAGTACTCCATGCCTAACTGATGAGAAAACTGTTTCTGAGGTGTTTGGACAAACGACATATATATGTAGTAAAACCTACAAAAGTAAGATATCTTCCTTTTCTGTTTTACTTAGAAAACTTCATAACTAATGAAAACCTCTTTCATGAGTCTCAGGGTGTTTACAAAAGTATGTTAAGGAGCAATGTGGAGCTTAAAACATTATTCTTTTAAGTGAGTTCTAGGAAGTGTTACCAAATTACACTAGGATTTTCATGATAGGATTTTGATGAAGGAAAAAACAGACCCTGTAGGAGAAGACATTAGCTCCTCCTGATTTCAGAGTCACCTGCAGTTTTGGCTTATTTTACTTCCTGAGTATTGATTACTTCTTTAGGCATGTGGAGATTTCATGCTGTTCCCTCTGGAACAGAAGTTTACAACGAGCAGAGAATCTTTTTCTCAGTATGGAAGCAGTATCTTAAGTGATGTGTAGTTCATAGATCAGGATGGCCCAAAGCTACTGTCTGTAAGGACAGTGTTTTGTAAGTTTGTTAGGCATTAAACCAGAAATTCGCATTTGAACTTCTATGATGTTTCTGCTTCCACTCGAAATCATGTAAATAGAAACTGTATGTTTCACAGTGGCTGCTACAATCATGTCCAGTAATAGTTATTGAACAAGCACAGCTCAACTGTTTGCTAAAGTCTTTGTTTTTAGAGTTCAGAGAATCTTGATATAAAATTGGGATTCTGACATCCAGCAATACAATCCTCAAATTCTCACTTCAATCTGAAAGTCTCCGAAGTATGTCAGTGTTTGCATTCCCACCTCCAAAGTTCTTTATTCACATGAAGGTCTCCATACCTCTAGAATTGCTTTCAGGCCTTTATGTGGCACTAACCATACAGACTCAGGACAAAGTCTGCTTCATTTCTCTGTGTGCTTTTTGTGGTAGGTCAGCAGTGTGTGGAAAGCATGGGTTATGACATTGAGCGCTTCGTTGGCTATGTCAATGAAGGGCTGCTGTGCTCCATCTGCCGTGACGTGTTGGAAGATCCCTTGCAGGCTCCCTGCGAACACGCGTTCTGCACCGCCTGCATACACGGCTGGCTTGTTCACCACAGCAACTGCCCCGAGGACAGGCAGATGATTGATGTGTCTCTGCTACGACCTCTCTACAGGTATGCAACACCTCTCACTGTATGTTGAAATCACACAAAGTTACTATGTCTCAGTTTTGCTTGTGCAGTTTCATCTCTTGTCACTTCCTGTCACTCAGATTGACTTTATCCAATGTGCCCGTGGCAGAAACTGATCACTTGTGTGAAAGCACTGGCGTTTTCTGTTTATTACAACTAACTTTCAAGTTGCTAAGACTTCAAAACTGGAAGAACGCTTAGTTAGTTCACCTTTTTATACCTTAGAATCATAGAATGTTAAGGGGTTGGAATGGACCTTAAAAATCATCTAGTCCCAACCCCCTGCCATGGGCAGGGACACCTCCCACTAGACCAGATTGCTCAAGGCTTCATCCAACCTGGCTTTGAACACTGCCAGGGTTGGGGCATCCTCAGCCTCCCTGGGTGACCTGTTCCAGTATCTCACCACCCTCACAGTGGTGGTAAGACACACTCACATTTTGAATGCTGATTCTAGATATCTGTCTGGATATTATTCTGATTGTCTTCTGCAGCATCAAAATTTTCCCAAACTTTATTTTAGAGGGAACAAGCAAAGCAACTCTTGACAACAGTAACTACACACTCTTTAGCTTTTTTCTTTTCAGACTTATCTAGATGGTTATCTAGATAGTGGGGTTTGTAAGGAATAATTCCTGGAGATGGGAAACAAACTTCTAACCTTCCAATCCTTTTATTAAAGGATCTTTAGCCATAAGAATGTCTGTTGTGAGCCACCTTGTCACGCAGGGCAGGCTGTTGTCACGGGCGACTTCCGTAACTGGTCAGGCAGTTGAACTAGTCGTTGTTGGCCCTTTCC